GATTTTCTTCTAACACAACCAGTAAGGTTCTCACCTGCTTACGTTTCGATGTCTATCAGACACCTTCCTCAGAGCTTCTGACTGGAGTTCTGCAACTCGCCGCCGTAAGCAGGTGAGAACCTTACTGGTTGTGTTAGAAGAAAATCCTATACCCTAAGTATCTTCCAACCTGATGAAATTATTTACGGTAACTACGCCACCGCAGCGGAAAAAAAGTCAAGGGTCTGTGACCTGATTAAGACATCAAATTATTTTTAATTATTGTGTTAAAATGTCAACCTGACAAGGGTTAAAATTGGCTATTTTTTACCACCAAAAACTTGTTATTAAAAGATGAACTGTCTTGACAAGCTAGCGATCCTTCAGACGAAATTCACATACATATTAGCTCGATGAAGAATACATTTGAACCATCTGTCCTATTTTCGATGTGACAACTCGAAATAAGCGAGACACTTAGACAAAAAATCCCGCAAACCTTTTTTTATTAGCAGAGAGAAAAAGTGACAGAACAAACTCCCACCATCACACTATTAATTGCAAGAGTATTTACACTGACAATAAAACTATATCTATAATTTTAAAATAAACCTATTTAAAGACTAATATTGTAGGTTCTAAGTGTGAAAGTTTGATATCTATATGCGAATTGATTAGTCGAGAACACTTTTCTTCGTACAACAAAGTCAAAAAACACTCTGTTAAACCTTTATAAATCATGGTGCGAACGGTGTTGTTGCTTCGTAAATAATTTCATCATGTTGTTAAACGAATGAATAGCAAAGTTCTTTGATCACAACCATTTATTTTTTACGAGCGGACGTTTCGATGACCGTCTGTCATCTTCATCAGGGCAGTTCTGACTGGTTTGCTGTTGATGTTCATTGTCTGGAAAACAGAATCTTCTTCATCTTTGGTGCAAAAAGAGGATTGTCACAAAAGATCTCCTGCTTCTTGTATCTAACCCATGGTGGATTTAGTCATTAATGTTGGATCTACTACTAAACAGTGGATAATAATAAACATTGAAGGAGTCCTTGATATTGATGTACTAGTAGTATAACACAATGCACACTACAGGACACATGAAATGTTACTCCGGATCGACCATACAGTAAAAGTGATTGAACAACGCCACAATAGCAGTATTACTTAACCAGATGCTACATGAAATGTAACAACCGTAGTCTAATAGTAATAGAAAACGCCACAACACTACACTAGACAAAGGACCCAGCTTTTGACGAGATACAGATGATAATGCTGCTAGATCTTTGCTATGATACCATACAAGATATATAACTAGCTACTTTTTCGTCTAAAAGCTTCAGCATAACGTTATGTTAACGTTAATTGTTGTTAATGACTACTGTAGGATACATGATTACTGTGCTTATTGCTAATTAAGTAACATATTGGTAGATGATTCTACCTACATCTATGATCCAATATTTGCTACTGAAAGATGTATTAATGGTTATACAGCTGAAACCATCTACTCTTATCTTCCAAATATTGCATAAAACTTGAATCTCAACTATCTAAAATTACCCCTTATCAAAATGCAGCAAAAAAAGACTGGATTTGTAGCCTTAGAAAAACTCCGCAAAATACACCAAAAGCAAGCACTACAACTGACCTGCTACTAGAAACGGTAGACTTAAGCTTGTGATCATCAAAACTCTAAAATGATATTGCGCCCTGCTGATGATGTAACAGGGGTAACAGCAGAGGAAACGGTCATGTTTGCAGAAACCAACATCTTACTGCATATCACAAGAAACTAGATATTCTCAACATCACAGAGGCGCCTGGTCTGGCCAGATAGACGGCCTACTACACAGCTGAAACTAACTTTTTAATGCATATCACAAGAAACTAGATCTTTTCAACATCACAGAGACGCCTGGTCTGGCCAGATAGACGGCCTACTACACAGCTGAAACTAACGTTTTACTGCATATCACAAGAAACTACATCTTCTTGCATCACAGAGGCGCCTGGTCTGACCAGATACATGCCCGTAGCCAGGATTTTGAATCCAACTGCTTGAGGGGACCTCAAAAATTTTGAAAAATGAACCTTCTAAAATGGCATTTCTTGCGTTTTTGAGAGGATTTCAAAGAAAAAATCAGAGATAAATTTTTATTCAATGACAAAGGGAGCAGTTGTTCTACGATTCCAATCTATCTTTTCAAGAAAAATCTTGGACCTTTACATAAAAAAGTGGACCAAAAAGTGGACCATTCTTCCAAAGCCCCTGAACCCCCCCCCCCTGGCTACGGGCATGAGATAGACGGCCTCCTACGCATCGGGTACCTCCTCGGTGGGTGCGTCGCATTGCACAGCAGGAGACAGTCGGTAGGCGTGATCATCCGAGACGGTATAACCGGGATCCGACACGTATGTCCGCGGGCGTGGGCAGCAGGGCGGGGTGGCGACTGTATGGGGAGATAGATTACGATATTAGTTTCGTCAGTTTGACGTTATTTCCGGGACGTTAGACACGTGATCAGGGCATTACAACCATCCCTCAACAGAGACGGGGGGCGCCACAGACTTTCTGCAACCCATGATCCACTGCTCACGGAGTCATGTATGTTACCTGCGTGACGTCACGGAGGTGGTGGATTGCTCATTCCTTGACAAAGACTGGAGTTGTACAGTCGAAAATTTGGGTGAGTCCAATTTGTTGTGTTGGAAATTGCAGTTTAAACTTGCTTCATAATGATTTCTACGGCTAGATTTTCTAAGGGTAGTATATCATTGCTATGTTTACATGTACCGAATGTAAGGCACACAGTAGAGAGCTAATGATGAGGTCTTGAAAGCTTCTGTCAACGGCAAATAAAGTTGTAGGAACTTACCTTTCTCGCAGATGTAGCGATTAAGAAGCCAGCAGAATTGGTTTATCCACTTGTAGTTCAACTGTGGGCGGATCTCCACACAGGGGAATGGCCATGGGGGAAATGGGCTGCCGCCAAACCAGTCGTCGTAGTCAGTGGGGCCCAGCACGCTGCCGTCACTCCAAACGTACTGCGACTGTCGAAATATTGTAAAAAAAAAAGTTGTATCCAGAAGAAACGTGCAAGGTGTTAACGATAGTTACAAGATCTTAGCTGTTTTAACAAGAGAGCAAGGCTTTAGGTCTAGGTCCAAATAGACAGGCATATTAAAAGAATGGAATGTTTGGGATGAATTTACCAAACTTCACTGCACAAGCAAACAAACTTACTACTAAGATGGTTAATGTTTCAACAATTAAGGTGCATAACCTGGAATGCATACACCTACGCTCTAAATGGCAAGTATACAGGTAAAGGAAACATGGAGACAAAGGCTTACGAAAGGAAAAGTCAGATCGTCCAGACCGATCCAGGTCGCGCTGGCGTAAGTTGTTTGGATGCGGTTGTCGATGAAGGCGTCCAGCGCTGCGGATTTGATGACCACCAGACGGCCGCCCTCGTCGCGACAGGTCTGCCTGGCCTGGAAGTAGTTCTGGCGGTCTGTAGAGAACCGCAGGCAAGGTCCGTTCGCCATCACGCGCTCGTAGTTCTCTGGACAGGCGTCTGTGGAGAACAGGTGGCAAAAATCAGACAACCGTTTCATTCACACCGATGATTGTCAAGCATGACTATCGAGGCCTTCAAGATTTAAACATGTTTATTTATTAATATTATCTTGGTACGTCGATGAAGGTTAGACAACCAGGTAATGTCTAGTAGATACTAGCTGAAACGTCTGGCCGTTTCCAAAATCATATCCAGTTGCTTGAGTAACTACTTTTTGGCTGGATTATAATGGTCCATTTATGCCAAAAAACAGTTACTCAAGCAACTGGATATGATTTTGAAATGGTCCATTTATTTCTTTATCTCTGAAGGAACTTAACAAGAAAACTTGCGGAGCGCCCTACCGCTCGAGTGGTATACGGACATCCTCCAGACTCCTCCGCACATCTCGTTCGGATTTCCGGAGCAGGGTGTGTTACACTGGCTGTCGGGTAACTGGGGGCCCAGGTTGTTGAAGTTTTGGGTTGTCCCGCAGAAACATTGACTGTAATATTCGGTTGCTATAGAAGAAAGAAGACAGAATTCAAGGGAACGTTAACGCAACTTTATTACAAATATATAATACAATATACACAGACTCCGTGATGATTTTTGTACGAAAGAGTCGGAACCTAAGACCCAAGTCATGTACTAGGCCCTTCGAGACGACAAAGAAATGTAACAAAGAAATTACAACTGTTCTTAAGATATTTTTATTTACTATTGGAATGTTATTTTCTTATCTTGGAAGTTCGTCTGTGTTGGTAGGAGTCATTATGAAGCAAATTGGACTCACTGCAGTTCAAAGTTGTTTCATTGACATTGGGGTTCTACTCTGCAGGCAGAGAAATTTTAAATACCTTTTGGTAGGTGAGTGGATGTTTTTTGCAGAAAGGCACTTTTTATAGACTGACATCGGCAAAGGGAAATTTCAAAGACTTATTTGGACATTGTATTGCTCTCGACAAAACATGGGCATGCCAGTGTAGGCAGACCCTGCACAACCTACATACAACAACTGTGTGAGGATGCGGGCTGCAGACCAGAAGACCTGCCCAGGGCTATGGAGGATAGGGAGGGCTGGCGGAAAAGAGTCACGAGCATCCGTGAAACTCTCACCACCAGATGATGACGATGATTGCTCTTGGTATTGTCAGTTGTACTTGATGTACACACCCTAGACTCTTACCGGAGTAGGGATATCCCAGGTCCTGGCAGTGCCTCCAACACAGTACGCCTGTCATCGCCGGATGATTCCAAAGGGGTGAGTGGGGGAACTTACGTACAGGATAGTCCCTGAAACAACCGTGGTACCGGCACACATCTGCATAAGGAGACAAAACAATTTCATCGACGTGTTTTTTTTTTTCATATCCTAGTTGTGAAACGTCGATGAAGGTTAGACATCCAGGTAATGTGAAAAACATGCAAACAGTCATTCAAACTCCTGGATAGATTTTTGTCAGATGTTTCAAGTAGCATCCACTACTTTTCGTTAGTCACTGAATTCATTCGGTTTCTTGAGTAACTTTTTGTCCATAGTCGTGAAGGTACATGTACTTGTGTTACAATGTTCCCATAGACCGAGTTGACATAACATGCAAACTCAAAGCTGTATTAAGGTATGAATCGCAAGAGCTTGACTTACAAACCAATGACAATGCTTTTTAACAAACCTTGAAACGCGTGACAAACAAGGTCAAGTTTAGATTCTATCATAAATGAACTTGCGCAAATCCGTCCTAGGTCAGTCATCCTGTGACGATCTCTGTGTAGAAGGATTCTTGAGCAGGCTGTGACAGAAACTACCACTGACACGATCATCTGATCACCTTTTCGGTAAGTAGGAAGCTGAATTTTACAGTTCATATGCACAACTCTCTCAAGTATGTCCTAACCCAAACCGTGGGCGCCAGGAAATGCGTTAAGCACATCTGTCCACTGGCTGATAGAAAATTACCTGTGGGCTTGTCGCAGCAGATCTGGTTGTGTATGTTGGTGGTGATGCCCTCCAGTCCGTTGAAGTCCGCCAGTTTGTAGACGTGGTCGTCACAGTTGGCGATGTCGTGCAGCTGCGCGTCGCTGACGCAACTCCCGACGCCGATGGCGAAGGTCTGCACGCCCATGCTGTGGAGGACAGAGGCCGGGCCTGCGACGGAATCCCACGAGAAGCCGTCAGTCAGGACGATAACCACATCAGGAGCGTCCGCGCGGTTGCCGTTGGTTTCGAGTAGCATGGTGTTGGCCACGTAGGTGAGAGCTGCACCGGTGTTTGTTCCTCCACCGGGTGTTGTAGTCATGCCACTTATGTGTGCGAGTGTATCTGGTTTGCTGGAGGTAAGAAAGAATGCAAAATGCTGTCTTACATCAGCTACACGCACAATCAACATGATTGTGCAAGTCAGTTCTTTTCCTATGGCTATTAGTAATTACAAAAGACATTGTCCTTGGTGTTTGCTATACAGAATCACGTAACCCAATTTAAAATAAACTGTAGATGATAATGATATTAAAAAAATCGCATACATTCGAACTAATCTATAGGCAACTATTACACATATAGCATGATGACACTTCGAAGGACATACTTGTTGTATGCGTTCAGGTAGAATTCCAGCATCTGACCGGTATTGTATCTGAGAACCCCGACGAGAGCGTCCAGGTCCCCGATCTCAAACCGGTTCACCAGCGCGTAGACGAAGTTTTTGACAGCCGTAGTGTCTCCCGACATGCTCACGGAGTAATCCAGGACGAAGACGATGTCGACGAGGCAGCATTCCTCCCGATCTGCATGGAGAAAGGTGATGTGATAAGGTCATCGACGCAGCGCTAGGAATTTCTTTGTTTGAAACACTTTTTTTATTGACGAGAAACTCAAATCAGCATGTTGGCCGCTTTTCGTGGACGTCATGAGGAAAGAGAGAAGGGTCAGACATAATATATAATGATAAGGTCACATTTCCAAGCCGGGGCCCGGCCGGGCTATTTCAATTAAAGAAAAACCAACAATTTTCATCAAGAATATACCTAAAGAGTTCCATTGTTGATATTTTTCAACCTTTTTTGCCTTGTTGTCTTTTATACCATATTTTTCGTTCCAAATGACTGCCCCGGGCCCCGGTTTGGAAATGTGACCTCAGCATAACTAGAGAAGTAACATCTGCAAAGCAAATGCATAATGTGTACCTTCGGTAAAAATGTACTACGAGTATATGGTAACAGGAGTGTAGCAGACCATGAAATTGCAACATTATGCTGGTGTGTTACGCCGAAGGGCGGTTATACCGGCTATACCGATACAGATACAGATATGTAACCCAACACTAGTCACCATGGTGACAGACGTCAACAAATCATGCCATTGGCCAGGTCAGAGGTTAGTGATCAGAACAGAAGAGGAAGAAACTGAGTCAACATAACAAAACATAACAAAGGCAAAGATACTGTAATGAAGATAATAAGGTAATGAAGCTTCCATACTGAAAAAATGCCATGTTGCAAATGTCATATGTTTTCGTCTGGTGCCTTGTGCCTCGCCACCCACCAAGGCTGTTCTACCGAGAACTTACATCTGGCTCAGAAAACACTGCAATAATTCACAGCTTCAGACCTACCTTTACAGTTACAGATCAGGTCGGTTCCTGACCACACGCCAGGCTTTATACACGTCCTGATGGCGTCTCCGGTCACCTCCATGGCGTACCCTCCTTTGTTGTTGTAGCACCGGTAGTAGCAGCTTTCCCCGTACCAGTAGAAAGGAGCACAGCCGAACCGTTTGGTGCAGGGTGGGTTAGGCGGCGCTCCACAACCTGAGGAGGTAGAAACCGGGCTCTTTTTTTAATACAGCACCGAGATGTGTTTATTGATAAACAACAAATTAAGTGGTTTGGACATCTGATAAGGATGCCACCGCAAAGAGTGCCACAAAGAGCATACAACAGCAGGAAATCTGGAACCAAGGCCAGGGGACGACCAAGGAAGAAATGGATAGATACTGTGAAGGACACCCTAAACACGCACGGCCTTACGCTAACAACAGATTCCAGACTAGCCGTCAGCCGCCAACTGTCCCTCCCCACGACACCCCAGATGGTAGAAGTGGATGGATATAGTAAGTAAGTAAGTACCGAGATGTGAAGAATTTGAAAAGACATTTTCGTACGTTTCCCCACAGATCGTTAGTTGTGTAAAGGATGAAAAAGGATCAAGTTACAAAAACAGTCCAATAATTTAAACTTTAGGCTTTCAGAAATTAATCGAAAGTTAAACATAATTATTCATTGCAAATGTCATATTATTTTCAAACCTCTCCAAGTCTCCAATATTTTGATAACCAGCATGGATTTTTTTTTTATACAAAGAAGTACCTTTCTTGCATCTCCACTTCCTATTTCCATACCACCTCCCGTTATAACACGTTGCGACAGTTGTGTCCGGGATGGCGGAGCAGCCCTTGCGGCAGCGGTAGGTGCACATCGTCCCGGAAGGGTACGGGGTGCCGGGCTCGTCACACGTGTAGACGGCCCAGTTTCTGAAAGGCGGGATCCCACAGCCTGGTAATGACAAAGAAAGGTCTTAACGTTAGGCCACAACATCTGTTATGTAATAGTACGTTAACCTGACAATGTAGATATAGTACACAATGTATTTACCGTAAACGCACGACGACTAGGCCGGATCTCATAGCTTGTTAACGTTAGACCGCAACACCTGTTATGTCATAGTATGTTTATCTGAAGTGTATCTGACACTTTTAACCGTTACCTGTTACTAATTTTGTTTATGTTCTTGTTGTGAGGGCTAGCCCTTTATAATAGCCTCCGGCTAGTTGGGCAGTCCTGGCCGTATACATCTGTTTATACAGTCTAATAAATCAAATTAAATCAAAGGTCGGAAGAATGAAATGCTTTACGTCATACCATGTCAATTCAGGCTTTCAAGACTTAAGTAACTGAACAATTTGTTTGTTTCATTGTCTGACCAAGTAGCCCGGAGTCCAGTCTTAGCGGGTCTTTGAAAGCGGCATAAAGCTACGAAGCTTGACACCAGGGTAGTACCAAAAAAGAAGTTCAAACTGCGTACATGTAAGTCATCCCCTGCTTGTATAGTTACTATACTTAGTCACTGAAGCGGACCATGCACGTAGAAGTGAAAAATGCAGTATTGACGTACTGCGTGCCCAGCATCCGCGCCATTTCGGGCCGACCCAGATGCCATTAATGCAGGTAAGGCTGTGGGTGGCAGGGTAGCCGGTACATCCGCGTTCCTGGTCGCACTGGTAGTGGCAAGTCTCCCCGTGGATGAAGGGAGGGTCACAGCCGGTCCTGAGAGCACACGAGTAGTCTTTTGGGTCCCGGCAATCTAGCATGAGAATGATGTAAAAAAAATTAATATTAGCGTCAAGAATAAACTTCTATTAAACATATGTGCAGGTACACAATGTTAGATACTCATTGTAGAGTGCATTTGTTCAGAAAGAGCCAACAGACACGAAGTTCCGCGAAGGTATGTTACGAGTTTTCACTGCACATTTATTATTCTACGCCAGTCGATGTGTGAATCTGTGTCATCTGTATTGGGATGTCAATGTAACTTGCATTCGCGTACCTTTAAAGCATCCTCTCCAGGGTTCACCGGTCCATATTCCTTGCCTGCAAGTCCTGGTCATGATACTGGGCGTTGCCGTGCACGTGTCGTTACACGTGTAGGTGCAGGTCTCACCATTGAGGTAGGGGGCGCTGCAGTCGGTCCTGGTTGTGCAGTCGAACTCTTCAGGCTCGCGACAGTGTGACGGCCCTGGAGGAGGGGGAAAAGAACGGACGGTGGGTATTTTTCGGAAATCTGGTTGTTGAGCCTGATGCTCTCTAGGATGAGTGGTACAGTCTACATAAGAACTTTGTGTTGGAGTCTCTCAACCCTATCCAAACCGGGCTAAAAGTGCCCGCGCCAACTTCGATGTCGGATAGCGTCAGAAAGGCTTGCGCTAGAACCACCAAACTTGGTGACTTTTCCTAATACACAAGAACGATGGGTGAGTTAACATGTCTTTGAAGTTTGGGGGACGTGTACTGCTACAGACTATTTTTAGTTCAATATTTTTTTTTGATACAGAGAAAACGCTTTCAGTGTGTTTCAGTGTGTTTCAGTGTGTGTGAGTCTGTGTGTGTGTGTGAGTGTGAGTGTGTGTGTGTGTGTGAGTGTGTGTGTGTGTGTATGTGTGTGTGTGTGTGTGTGTGTGTGTGTGTGTGTGTGTGTGTGTGTGTGTGTGTGTGTGAGTGTGTGTGTGTGTGTGTGAGTGTGTGTTTTATTTCAACTCACAGCAGTTGGGAACCTTTCCGACCCAGGTCCCGTCTCGGCATGTCACCAGGGTGCTGTAGTAACCGGTACAGTTCCGGGTGCACGTGTAACCACATTGGTAACCGTCCGGGTAGGGAGGCTGCTGGGAGCCGCATATCACTTCTACACACCGCAGGGGGTCTGGTGGAGCAGATTCACAGCCTGAAAGGAGGAAAAGGAGACATATTTAGTAAGCATTTCATGCGACCCAGTCGTCCCTCTCGCAGTACGTTATAGGATTCTCCCCAGTCAGAGCCTTATTTTTTTCTAAACCTCGTAAAGATCCAAATGCACCTACTCTATCCAAACACCTGATGTTACAAGTTACACGTGCACACTCACATCGAGAAACATCAACGTCAACCCAGGCCTCGTCCCAAACTTCCTCTGTTCTGACATTAAATGGCTCCCAGACTATGTCTCGGCCTGTGCGTGCTTTTACGGGTACACTGGTGATCGGGTCTCTGGCTTCGATCGTGTCGTCAGGTCGGCACAGGGTTGGTGCAATTCGCTGCAGTGCGAATCCGCCTCCCAGGTCTGTGCGCGGTGGGTAGGAGCAGTTTGCGTCCGGTCCGTACGTTGCGCTGTCAAACTCCACGTCGGCGCGCGAGTTGCGGTAATCCGCCTCCATGTTAGACAGGTATTGCTCGTAGTACAGCGGGTAGCTCTGTCTTAAGGCTATGATGGCGATACCTGGCAACTCGTCTTCGAAGAAATAAAAAAAAAAAAAAGAAAACAGGTCAAAGGCAAGCCCACTCTCAAACATCAAACCTTTGGAATGAATTGAATTAATTACATAATATTTAAAGACCACAGCTAAAAAGGAAATCTCCAAGTATATCTTCTGGTGGCCGCAAAATACAGTATCCAAAAGCCACCCTAGAACTGCCAGTACTAGCACAGGGAGGAGCATCTCTTTTAAAACATGTTTCTGACCCACATTGTACCTCCTTGGTACCACCATGCTACCCTCTGGACAATGGGTGAACAGTGTGGGTTTACACGGCCGATTGTGGCAAACATACCTGGTAACCCAACTTCTGGGTCGAAGTTCCTGGTTTCAGGCAGGAACATTCCTGTAGTGACGCCTTCCTTGGTGTAGGTTAGAGCCCAGCGCTCAGGCATGATGGTAATGTTATCCGTGTTTGGAAGGTCGGCGAGTGGGGTGCCGTCATACTCTGCGTACGCGGCCAGGTCGGTCAGGAAGGAATCCGAACCAACCTCCTCAGCCACGTCAGGGTCCAGGGGTGCATCGGTGATCGCACTTCTTGCGGCTTCGTAAGCAAATTCTGAAAAAAGGCACCATTAGTTTCTGCAGACCATTTTAAATATTACGCCTCTGTAAAATAATCTGTACGAAATCACAGTGAAGCTTCCATCTACTGTTTTATTTATTACCAGTGTAACTTATAGGTACCTTCAAGATGGTTGGAGTGTTTATGGCTACAGTGTTATCCTCGTAATGGTATGATGTGACCATTCACCACATTTGGATCGTGGCATTTCCTCTTAAACCATACAAATGTGTGCCACTTTGCTCGCTGTGTATGTCTGATGCTTTTAGTACGTAGACTTAGCCGTATTAATTCCGTAGGTCCATACTCAATACTCAACTACACTTCTCTGTTGCCATATAATAACTCATAAGAATTGCTGTAACCATTGAAATTTAATATTTTGATATAAAGATACAATCTGGTGTCGTTAAGTTCTCGTATAAGTCCCCAAAGCCTCATGCAAGCAGATGATACTGAAGTGTATGATATGATATAGTTGCTGGTGAAATAACGTACTTAACTGAAACTTAACTTAAACAGAGAACGTTACTCACCTGTAGCTAGCGGAGGCCATGGAAAGCATCCTAGTACAAAAAAAAAAGAGATAACATTGATACAGAGTCCTTTACCAAAATTGTGACAAATAGAGACGTTGTTTGTTAGAGATACTACATTCAAATCTTAATTAAATCCAACTGAGCATAACTAGGAAGTTACTATACTAGTCTATAGGTATGATATGTTCTCGGTCGCTCTAGAGGGTCAACCGTGACATTGTTCAGCAGTGACGGTGTTTAGTTTATTTTGTTAGATCTCGTGTTTATCTTTATCTCAATGTTTGTCGTTAGCCAGACATTTTGTTATAATTGCACTCTTGTGGTCATAATTGGAGAGAAAATTAGAGGTATAAATCTTAGCTTCTCTTAGTAGCTTAGCCAGAATTCCATTGAGAGCAGCTTCTGGAGCTGCAGGGGCGTCTTTTTTTTTCAAATCTGCGAAGGAGGATATCTTAAAGAACCGGTTGCGGAAAGTTGCAATGTTTGGTAGGTATAGGGAAATTTTTCATGTCTACCTTGCTACAATACATATAGATCAATGGATCTTTGAGACAGTACATGTATGTCACTTATAACACTGTTGAAACCTGTACCTTTTTTTGCCATACAAAATCAAAATGTCCTGGAAATTGAAAAAAAAAAGAATATCGGCTCTGTATAGTCACAGATGTATATTGTGTAGTCTCTAACAGACTAACTACGCTGTCTATATATATATATATATATAGGAGAACATTTGCCAGGGGAGTTTGGCCGCCTTGTAGGTTTGACTGACCGCGGGAAAGAAACTACCTCCCCGCGGCCGGACTCCCTTGGCCAATTTTACTCTCTTTTTTTGACCGAATTCTACGATCCGTATTCCCGTAGAAAGGCCTGGTACCGGTGGAGGCTGTATATTGTGCGTATTCGGTCAAAAAAATCGGTTCACGTACCTTCCCGGCACCCTGTCCAGGGAGCACCGACCCATGCGCCGTTCTCGCAAGTCCTGGTCATGGTACCGGGTGATCCGTAACATCCGCGGTCGCACACGTACGTGCAGACATCCCCCTGGTCACTGCCGGTACAGGTCCTGGATGTACACGCGAAGGTTGGGGGAGAACCGCAGCTCACAACCCGGACTATTGAGTTTTGAGCATAGAAAACATATTAAGAAACGAGTTGATGTTTTCAGTGACGCAAATGTGTTTGATACCTCTATGAAGGTTAGACATCCAGGTAATACGATACGCCAAAAAGCAGTTACTCAAGCAACTGGATATGGTTTTGGAAACGGTCAGACGTTTCAGTTAGTATCCACTAGCTTTCGTCAGTGACTGAGAGACCAGAGGGGAAATGCAAATGCTTATAAACCTGCATTTCCCCCCTGGCTCTGGTCTCTCAGTCACTGACGGAAGCTAGTGGATACTAGCTGAAACGTCTGACGTTTTCAAAATCATATCCAGTTGCTTGAGTAACTGCTTTTTGGCATATCGTATTACCTGGATGTCTAACCTTCATCGACGTATCCTATGTTAAATGTCTACGCTTTTTGGCGTATATAACATAGGAATTTGTTTTAACATATGGAGGGATCTGGCAAATGAGAGTTCAGTTATTTTCACTTACGGCATTCTGGGAGGCTGCCCTGAAATGCCCCGTAATGTCCGCATGTCGTTGGGGTGGCGACTCCGGTACACCCGGCGGCGCCGCACTCGTAATAGCAGACAGTTTGGAAGTTGTAGAAGTCACCGGGCACGCAGGTAGACGTGACACACGTTGGGGAGGGGGGCAGAACCGGGAACTGGCATGTAACTATTGGTGATGGATCATTACAATCAGACAAGAGATGCAATGAAATGTCAAAGCAGGACACTTTGATATGTCAGTTGCCATGTAGGAATGTACGTTTAGTCGATAAAGCATGTGCCCATGTGTCTCGAGAAGAGAAAAGAGACGGCGATTAACAGTAGACAAACAATAGTGTTGTTTCAATGCAGAAACATTTAGTATTTAGCGTTAAAATTAATTGCGTTAAAATATCATAAAAGACAAAAATTTTCATTTATGCATTTTTGGGCTCAGATGAAATTGAAAACGCCCAAAACCATATACTCGGTCAAGCCAGAGGAATTTAATGCAGCCTCTACGTTTAACCACTTTAAGGTGCCCTGTAGGTGTGTGTTTGGTTATACGTACTTGGAGAGCAACCCCCCCAGTCGTCGCCAACCCATCGTCCGCTTTCGCAAGTCCTGGTCGTGGTAACGGGTTCCCCCCTGCACGTGTTGTTACACCTGTAGCTGCAGATCGCACCCTCGGCGTAGGGGGCGCTGCAGTCGGACATGGTTGCGCAGTCGAACTCTGGCGGGGAATCACAACCGTCCCGTTGTTCTAGAAGAGTAAAACAAGAGGAGGACAAGAGGGCTTGGTCAGTTCTACCCTATACCCGATACAGCCAAGGATTGAGGTGTCCGAGAATTCATTCTTTCCTAAAACTATCGCAGAGTGGAACTCACTGTCACCAAGTACAGTAGGGGTATTGTCATTAGATAGCTTTAAACAATGCCTAGAGTTAGATGTTCAAGGGTTAGGTGTAACAAGTCGATCGGTGTAATGTATCCAGCGGCCGCTACGCCGCGTGCCTGCGAAGCTGGTGTGTTACGCCGAAGGGCGGTTATACCGGCTATACAGATACAGAAGCTGGTGTGTTACGCCGAAGGGCGGTTATACCGGCTATACAGATACAGAAACTGGTGTGTTACACCGAAGGGCAGTTATACCGGCTATACAGATACAGAAGCTGGTGTGTTACGCCGAAGGGCGGTTTTACCGGCTATACAGATACAGAAGCTGGTGTGTTACGGTGATAAAACGGTGATGAGACTTGTAAAATAGAACTCAATAGATGCAACACATCGCTAACATGAATGTATGAATGTGACCTATGTCTAGATTCGAAGGAAAAAAAAGTGTCATAATGTGACAACAGAATAAATGATAAGGGTTATTGTTAATTTTTTCCAAAATATGAAATCATGTGGATAATCCAGAATTATGTTCTTACCAGCACAGGTGACTCCGTCCCCTTCGTAACCGTCGTTACAGATACAGACGAAACTGCCGAGTGTGTTAGTACAGGTGGCATCAGTGTGGCAGTTGTCCTCGCCATCTGCACATTCATCGATATCTATATATCGCAAAAACATATAATGTAATATTTACCATCACTATCTTCCTACTGTGATCGGAACTGCCATGCCAGGGTCGGACTTAAGGCAGGCCACACAAGACGCTGGCCACCGTCCGAGTTATTAATCTGTAAAGCGCTAGTCCTGAATATAAACCTATGAGAACTCTTGAGAAATAGAACTCAATGGAAGCAATACATTAGCCTCTACCAGGCTTGGGGAGGCGGCTGGAAAAAGTAGTAATCGGCCAGATAGTCTGAGAAATAAGCACATGCCAAGGGAGTTTGTCTGTTGAGAGAACAGAACTGTTCTCTCAACGGACAAACTCCCTTGGCATGCTTATTTCTCTATTTGGCCGATTTCTACTCTTTCCAGCCGCCTCCCCAAGCCTGGTAGAGGCTAGCAAAGCCAATACATATACTATAATGTCTAACTGACGTACAACCAAGTATTATGTTCTTACCAGTACATGTTTCCCCGTCCCCATAGTAACCGTCGTTACAGGTACAGGTGTAACCATCGAGTGTATCAGCACATGTTGCATCAGCGTGGCAGGGAGACGATGCACATCCGTCCATATCTGTAGAGACAAACCGGAATGACATATTAGTAACCTCCGTCTTGTCCGTGACTGCCATGTAGAATAGGACACTCATAGTAATCACCAAAACAAAATCGTCCAATTAAATTCCCCTGCCACATAGCCGAATTTAGGCCGCCCAACGCTGCTGCACCCCACCCCACCCTTCCCAACCATGGTTGGGAGAAGGTCGAGTAAGGTGTCGACCTGGTGTTTGGCTGGGTCGCTACTGTTCGGTTAAGTCGTGAAAACTTCTCAAGCACGTAGAATGGTCACAGAAACAAGAGAACTGTTACGTTCACTTACGGCAGGTGGGAGCCTCGCCGTTCCATGCTCCGTAGTAGCAGGTAAAATTGCTCCCTGTCCCCGCACATGGACTGACGCACCGGTACGTGCAGGTAGTCCCGTCGTTGTAGGGAGGACCTTCGGCACTACACTCCATGGCTGTACACCCGTAGGATGGCGGGCCTTCTCTGCAGGGTTCTGGGTCGGAATAGTACAAGGCAGATAGATTTAGCGATACTCGATTACACAAAAGCGTTCGACAAAGCGTTCGTGAGTGAGTTCGACAAAGTTTCCTATGCCAGGCTCATCTAAAAAATGTAGTATTGTGGAATCCGAGGAACGACACTAAATTGGTTAAAATCTTTTTTGACTATGTATGATGTACAAAATGACTGATAAACTGGTGAAAAAAAACAAGAAACAGTCATGCTTTCAAATATCAGAGGTATCTACCAAGAACTGAGGTGTTCAAAAACTCGTATTTTCCAAGAACTATCGTAGACTGGAACTCGTCACCAAGCACAGTTGGGACATCATCACTAGAAAGCTTTAAACAATCTTGCAATTAGATGTCCAAAGATTGAGTGTAACAATCGGTGTAATATAGCTAGCTGCTGCCACCGAAGCTGGTGTGTTACGCCGAATGGTGGTTATATGATGAGTCCTTTATCTTATATAAAGATATACTAGTAGATGGACATTAAAAGTACACGCTAATTGTAAAGATTAATCTCGAATATCGAGGATTTGAACGGGTACATAAAGGTAAGAGCCACGAATCATTGTAAACAATGTACACCACTTTCCATTGCTTGCTCCAAAGAAGAAAAAAAGATGTGCTTTGTCACAATCAGAACCCGGGCGAGATTTTGAAATTAACGTATAATGATCACTAAAGAAAGGCTTCTTACCCTCTGCGTCCACCAGGAGAACTGCGGTCATCACCAACAGACTCAGACAGGCGTGGAGACTGGAAGAAAAGAGATTAGAAATGTTTCTGGGGTACTGTGTGTCTATGTACCATACGGTTTTAGGTTTAGGTCCCAATTAATTACTAAGTGTTCAGCATCTTCCAGAACATCAATATTTACTATACTCATTACAGTGAAGCTTACCGGGCAAGTCTAAGTTCTTGATACGTTTTAGGCCACGTCAGGTAAATTTTATGAATAACGTCCTCCGCAAACTACAAATCCAATGCGATAGGGCGAAAAACAAGAGGG